GGAAAGAATTTCCTCCTTATATCCAATCTAAACTTCCCCTGTTTAAGTTTTAACCCATTACCCCTTGTCCTACCACTACAGTCCCTAATGAAGAGTCCCTCCCCAGCATCCCTATAGCCCCCCTTCAGATACTGGAAGGCTGCTCTGAGGTCTGTGAGCATGGGTTCAGTGAGATGCTAGTAAAACCAAGGAGAAACCCCAGACTGCACTGAAGGCAGCTGGAGCCAGCGAGCGCTCAGCACCACTGGAAAACTGGGTCCAAAGTCCTAAGGACTTTGAGGGCAAAGCAATTCTCTGCGTGCGACTCCCTTGAGTACAGCAACGTCTGCTTCCCAAAGTGCTCCTGAGCAGATGTGATGCTCACAGTGGGTCGGGTAGGCTGTTTTCCATGAGGAAACATGGCATGCGGTAAGGAAAGTGGATCAGAGGGAGGCTGGTAAAAGGCAGCTCCTAGGAATGAAGTGATCCCTCCTGAAGGCCTTGGCTTGGGCTACAAAAGCCTCAGTGCTGAGGGTGCTGAGGCGCTGGCACAGGGTGCCCAGAGAAGCTGTGGCTGCCCCATCCCTGGCAGTGCTCAAGGCCAGGTTGGACACAGGGGCTTGGAGCAAGCTGCTCCAGTGGAAGGGGTCCCTGCCCGTGGGAGGGATTGGAACTGGAGGAGCTTTAAGGTCCCTTCAACCCAAACCATTCCATGATCCACACACGGATCCACTCAGAAGCAGAGGGGAGTATTTAAAGGTCCCTGACAGCCTATCCATGAACCTGCCTGGACATGCCCACAGTATGTCCTGACATGTCCCATCCACAAATCCCAAGGCACTTGGAGCGTGGGGAGCAGGAAACAGACCAAACAAAGGACCAAGCTGACAAAAGACATTCAGGCCCCAAAACAGATGCTTAACAAAGCCCAGTGTGAGGAGCTGGAAGGTGGAAGGGTGCCCAGCCTGGCTCTGTGCTGTAAATGCGGGCTATTCTAGCAGCTAACAGGTTAAAAAGGATTCATTTACGTCCACATCCTCCCTTTCCTCCCCCCCCAGTTGCATTTCACACGGTTCAGTCACAGCCTTATTTCACAACCTTGTGTTTTGAAAGGACTCTTATTAGCTCTAAGTGTAGGCTGGGCTTAGGGCTCTTGCTTTATTGTTTACCCTGCCTGCTAGGCCTGTTTCTGGGGTCAGGTCCAGGTTACCCATTACACTGGGATTAAACACACCAGCCCAGTTTACCCCTGGGCTTTTTTCCCCTTAGATTCCCAGTGCTTTGGCTTAACCCGGGTTAGCGATGAGGTGGCTGCTGGCACTGCCCTCAGAACTGTCTGTGGAGCCAGACAGAGGGATTTGAACCACTACATCTGTCAGCCCCACAAAGCAGGGATGCTGCCGGATTACTTTTCCCCCTTTCATGTAAAGAAAGCAAGCTCTTGGCTTCCCAAATCTCTAAATCACCCCCAAGTCCTTCCCAAAGACTGGGGTAAACTGGGAGGCAGCCGGCCAGAAGGGACAGGGAATGCGGGATGATTCCCATCAGGAGGATTTGAATGTTAACCCTCTGTAACCATCCTATTGCTCCTAATAGGGGTGTGGATTCACGCTGGGGCTGTGGGACCATAGTGGTATTGGAGGAGCTGGTTTGTGTCTCCTGTGCACCGAAGGAGGTGTCGTCATGCCCCGAAATCACAGCAAGGCCAAGCGCAGCGTGGGAACAGTGCACATGAAACACTGGGATTTGCTGACGGGGAAGGGAGCAGCTCCCTCTGTCCATGCCCAGCGTTAACCCTTGATTGAAAGCCAAATGCTCCCCTTTTACTGTCAAATTTCCAGCTCAACTGGTTTGGAAGCTCATTTGGATGAAGAGTGTTTGAAAGCCTATCTGCGCTTGGGTTTCCTGCCAAACCAGTTGCAGATCCAGTCTGGCCAATTGCTATGGAGAAGTTTATTGGGTTTTGTTCTCTTTTCTTTTTGCTTCAGTTGAAATCTAAACGCTCTCAGCCATTTCCAGCTAAACACAGGGTAGAAACTCACCCAGAAACACAGCTTTAAACCCAGTTCTAACTTCTCTTGTTCAAATGAAGTCTGTTTTCTAGTGGTCTGTTTATTGCGGAACGCCTCTGGAAGCACGTATGGAGTCTGATGCCCTGTCTTGAAGGCATCAGACTGGAAATCCTGGGCACATAACCCGCTTAGGGCTCCTTGAGCTCCACAGGAAATCTCTTCTTGGAAGGGCTTAACAAAGACAAGCTGATTTCCCAACGCAGGGCCTGTGTCTGCCCATAGGAGCACACACAAGGCAAGGGCTCTGAGCCGTGCAGAGGCAGCCGGTGGAAAGCCCATGATTAAGGAATAAATGGAAGATCTGAATTAGGAGAATGGTGCCACCACTTGTGGAGCAGGGGGGACCAGGGGAACCTGCCTGCCAGGGCCACATCAGCACCAGCACTTAACCCACACTGTTAGCCCTAATGGCAAAGGAACCTGCGCTTGCTATTAGTGCAGGCTGGAGGACAGGGGACCTCTTGCTCCAATTACTGTCCAGTGACTCAGGGCTGGATGATAGCATCCGAGTACCTTTTAATGTGTTCCTTCTGCTGGGTGGGAAAAAACAAGCCCTTTTCCCTGCTCTCAGCTTGCCTGGATGGACCTCCTCCGCTTTACTGCACAACAGTCAAGGGGTTCTTTTTGCTTTGGCTTTTAGGGATCTGTTGGTATAAAGGGGATCTTCTTCATGGGATGGGTTCTCTTGCTTCCTAGCGTGCTGCTGGTGGTGCTGGTGTGTTTGAAGCAGTGAAGCTGTGCATAGACAGGGCTCGCATCCAGGGGTCTCTGGCTGCTGCAGCAGCATCACCCATGCCCGCTGCCCTGCGATGGGTTTCATAGGCCCCTGGGGGCTCCTTCGTGCGTGCTGCTGACTTGAAAAAGAAGGAAAAGAAGGAAAAAAACCCTCCTTAGACTTTAATCCTTGGGTTTATTTCAAAGCTTACAAAGGCAAAGCGGGTTTACAGCAAGAGATTTGCTCGGTTCCTTGTGGATGAATGGAGCGGCAGATGGAGAGGAGAGGTGAGGGGAGGACTAGGGGAACCCTTGGCTCTGTCTTCTTCCTTCTTCCCCTGCCTCTGCCCCTGCTGCCCAAAGTGCTTTCCTTGGAGCTGCACAGAACACGAAGGGGATCAGCACAGACCCTTGCTTGGGCGCTGTCTGTTGTATAAGGGAATCATGGAATGGTTTGTGTTGGAAGGGACCTTAAAGCCCATCCAGTTCCAACCCCCTGCCACGGGCAGGGACACCTTCCACTTTGCTCTGTTGGTTCCCCATTGCTCCATCCCCATCCTCTCACTGTTCAGGTGGGAACCCCCCCGTGCCCATAGGAATGCCAGAGGTGCCAATAAACCAAACCTGCAGCAAAAGGCCTCCCAAAATCCTATGGTTTGGGAGCTATGGGAATAACTGGAGCTGTGTGACCTGTGCGTAAGGGTGCTGGGAGCCTCTTCTGCGGCAGGGCAGCATTGGCAGCCGTGTGCCGGCTGCAGCAGGCTCCTCCTCACCGGGAACACCGGGAGCGGCACTGTGGGAACCGGCGGTGTCTCCATGGGGCTGCTCCTGGGGCACAGGCAAACCCAGATGATCTAATCCCTGCCTCGGTTTATTCCAGCTGCACCCACTGCTTGTGGAGATGCCAAATGAGGCCCCAGCCATAGGAGGAGAAGGCGTTTTCGCTGGGGATCCCATCAGAGCTGCGGCTTCGGTGCATGCCAAAGGAGGCATCTGGGGCTGCGAGACAATGCCTTGGAACAAGCCTGCTTCTCTGCCAAGGGAATATTCATTCCAAAATCCCATCCTGGTTTGATACTGACTCTCTCATGGCTGATCAAAGGCAAGGCGAGAAAAGAGCTTGGCCTCCTCCTGCTGCTTTAGCTTGGGGCCAGTTTCAGCAGGAGGTGGGCGAGTGCCTTAGTGCCAGCAGCAGGGCAGCTCCTGCTTTGTGGTGGCTTCATGGTGCTGCTGGCACCGCACTAAGCACCAGGGCTGTGTGCTCCTCCTCTGCCCTCTCGCTGGGCTGGATGGTGGCAACCGAGGACGCTCGGTGCTGCTCCACACATGCCTTGGCTTGTTCTCCCTGTTCCATGATCCGACACGTCCTCTGTGCTGCAGCTGCCTCCCCTGGGATCCTGCTCATCCTCCCGCCTGGCTTCTGGCTTTAGGGAGGGATGGTGCCCTTGCTCCTCACCCTAAGTGCTCCTCAGGAGTGAGACAACAGTGGACATGGCAGTGTCCAGTGTTCACCCTCTGGAGCCTGCAAGCTGTTGGGACCTATTGGAAAGGATTTAGCCTAGTTCAGGGAATGGGGATGTGTCTTGGGGAAGGAAATTTGGTGATGGGAGCCTGGTGGGGGACACGCAGGCTCCCTGCACTGGGGACAGGAGGGTGTCACTGCCCACAGCCACCCCAGTGACCGCTCTGTGCTGTTTGGTCCAAGGCAGTTCCACTGATCCAGTGATGCCAGGTACATCCCAGTGCCTGTGATGGGCAGAAGCCCCGCGGCCGGGAGCAGACGGAGAGGGACCGGGCACCGGGACCGGGCTTCCACCACCCGGGACCCCCCCACGGTGGGGGGGGGGGTCACCTCGGACACCGGGTACCCCTAGAACCGGATCCCCGGGTGCCCCTGCGCTGGGGAAGGGGTGCAGGGACATTGGGGGGGGGTGAAGGCCCCCATCTTGACCCCGACCCCGGCCCCGTCCCCCCCATCCCGGGTCAGCCCCAAAATAGCGTCCGGTAACTCCCCCCCCCCCGCCGCCGTTGCAACTGCCATCGCGCCGTGACGTCACCGCTTCCCCCGCGCTGAGGTCAGGTTCTATTTGCATACCGCGTCCCTCAGCCAATCAGCGCCTCCGCCGCCCCTGACGCCATCCCCGCGCTACACGATATAAGGGCAGCGCGGCGCGGGCGCCGGAGATCGCGGAGCGGCGGGTGGGGCGGTGCTGGCCTCCTCCATCCCATCCCATCGGTCCCGGCAGGAGCCAGCGCCGCGAGCCGCGGCAGGACATGGTCCCCGAGATCGCCGCCGCCGTCGGCTTCGTCTCCGGGCTGCTGCGGACGCGGGGCTGCATCAGCGAGCAGCAGCTCCAGGTCTTCAGCGGGGCGCTGCGGGAGGCGCTCGCAGGTAAGGGGCAGCGAAGCGGCTTCGTGGAGGGGGGGGGCGAGCCCGTTCGGTGTCCTTTGGAGCTCCCTGGGTCGCTCCCAGCGTCTGGAGTCCCTCCATGGGTGCCTATGGGCATCCTCTTGTGTCTGTGCTGCCCTTGTTGCTTTCGTGCCTTTGGGTGCTCGTAGGGATGCGTGTGTCTCCCTGAGCACTCACCGGTATCCCTGTGGGGCTCTGGGGCAACACCTCCAGCCCTGGAAGTGAATCGGTTCCCTGCTTAGTCTGCGGGCTTTGTGCAGCCCGTCTTGAAGCTGCTCCTTCTGGGATCAGGGTACAGGTGATCCGAAGCTGATCTCTTTGCCCTGTGTCGGTGGGGTCTGGCGCTCTCATCCGCGCTGGGTGGTTCAAGTGTCTCCTCCCAGCCTGACCCAGCTTTACGTTATCAGCGCTAGGGAGGGGTGGTTGGTTTGCTGCTGTGCTGAGATAAAGGGGTAGCAGCGTGCCCCGGAGCTTAGGGAATGACCTGGGTTGCGGTGGTTCTTTGTCCATGGTACGGTGTCTGCTATGGCCACCGCGGTTTTGGGGTGAGGTGGTGTTGGGGTCCCATCACTGTGGCTGGGGTGTCTGGGACCCGAAGAGCTGCGTTCCTGTGCCTTGGAGCAGTTGAGTGCTTGAATCTGCTGGAGGCAGCCTAAGGAGGACAGCGAGGTGTGGGAGCCCCTTGGGACCGCAGCGGGACACAGCCCTGCTCCGAGCTGCTGCTCACAGCTCTTCCCTTGTCGCTTCCCTTACAGAGCACTACAAACACCACTGGTTTCCTGAGAAACCCTTCAAAGGCTCTGGATATCGCTGCATCCGTATCAACCACAAAATGGACCCCCTTATCAGCAAGGCAGCTAGCCACATCGGACTCAGCCTCTCACAGCTCTACCAGCTCCTGCCCAGCGAGCTCACGCTCTGGGTGGACCCTTACGAAGTCTCGTACCGCATCGGGGAGGACGGCTCCATCTGTGTCTTGTACGAAGCAACTGCAACGAAACCAGGCAGCTCCTATGGGGTGCTCACCTGCAAGAACCAGCTGATGTTGGGTCGCACCAGTCCTGCCAAGAACTACATCATGACTGTCTCCAGCTAAACACTCCTCTTGTCCATACACTGCCAAGACACAGGCTACTGTATACCTCACGTGAGGATCTATTTTTAAGATGAAGAGCTATTTATATTTTTTAAAAAAATTCCAAGAAAATCCATAATTAAAATATTTGGGCACTGCTTCGAGCTGGAGCGGTGCCTTTAGGTGCCTTTTTTAAAGCTGTTGCAAGCTGATGAGTTTTTATTCTGAAGCCGATATCTACCTAATTAGTGTTGGATGGTCATTTGGGGCTGGTTTGGTCACTTGGGCAGCTTGGAATGGAGGATGAGGGGGAAGAGCCAGGCTGGGAAGTGTGGCTTGGTGGTGGCTCATTCTGTGTCACCTCTTTGCCACCCTGGTACCCAACGCTGTTGTATTGCGGTAGTGTTGGGGAAGGGATGAAGGAGTTGCTGTCTTCCCTCTGCTAACTTCACCCCTCAGCTGGTCTGATCTCTCTGGGGTCTGGATTAAGTGTTTGTGGGAAGCTCACCTCAGGGCTGAGTGATGCTGGGGACCCTGGATCCCTCTCTTGCCTTTGCACATCTCTGGACCCACTTTGTGAGTATTGCAGCTCTGCTCTGCCCCACTCCAAGCACAAAGTGAGGGGGACCGTGGCCTGTCTCCATCCCCTCTGTCTTTCCTATCTGCTGCTGAAAGGGGCCACGTGGGTATCTGTGTCCTGTGAAGTGGAGCAAGGCAGAGATGCTCTGGGGCTCAGGGTGTGCAGAGGAGGTCCCCAAGATGAATATTGCAGCACTGGAGCACTGCTTTGTCCTGGTGCTCCCTGGTACCTGAATCATTGAGCAGCTGTGAATTACAAAGCCTTTCTGCTACGTGCAGCTTAGACACCAGCCCATGACCCCCACTTCTCTTGTGAAAGCTGCCTAATCCAATGCTGATGACTTGCCGAGCCACTTCTCCAGAAGAGCTGAAGCAACTCACCTTGTGCTGTGGAGGTTGGTGTGTGAGACCCCCTTTTCCCTTAATCAGAAGTACTTGGGGGGGGGGCTCTCTTCCTCTCTGTGGGGTGGTTGGATGCTTTGGTGTCCTAATGCTGCTGTTTAAGTCACAGCACTCCATTCTCCTCCCGCTGTGGGTGATGCGCTGGCCCTGGGAGCCCTCTCTGCTGACACCTTGGTAAGGGCATCACTTGGTTCTGAGCTCTTGGTACACAAGTTTTGCACAATTAAGGCCTTCTCCTGTGCTCTGTTCAGGCAAACCTCCTCTTGTAGGCCCAGGGGTGCTGGTCTTCAGGGAGACTGCCCCAGTGATGGTCAGGAGTTGGCCCTTAAACCTACAATGGGATGGGAGCCAAAGTGCTGCCCCAGGAGCTTAACCTATTGGGAATGAGCCTTTCCCAGGGTGTTGTATATATCTGTTGCCTTTTTACTTACCAGCTCCTCCAGTGATCCTGCATTGAGGAGGCAGGACCTGGCCACTGGGGCTGTAATGAAACTTTCCCAGCTCTGTCTCTCAGCCCATGGGTTTTAACCTGGCACTGACTGGTCTAACCAGAGTCATTCTTGCCCAGCCTTGGATGAATCAAGTTCTCAGACGTTTGTGCAATATATTTCCACATCTTGGGTGCTCTGGGAGAGGAAGGAAGCCTCCAACCACCGCAGTCATTAGCTTGGGTTTTCATAGGTAAGCATCACCCAGCACAAGTCCCCATCTCTAACCCCTAAAGGAAGCTCAGCTCCTTGTAAGCCTCAAATCCTGACTTCCAGAGATGGAAAAGCAGCCCTCAGAAAATGTCAAGTGGGGGAGTTTGTCCTTGGAACGGGAATAGCAGACGTTGGCTCTGGGGTTGCATCACTTCCCTCTGCATCTCTTGAATTTCTCCCGTCAGCATGAACTGAAGCACTTGGGGCTTTTCCCTTGGTGAACTTGTGCAATAGGTGACCTCACTGAGAGGGGAGCACTTGGGAGCTTGGAAAAAGCCATCTCCCTTTCCAAGAAAAAGGGATCTTGGTGCTTCTTGGACCTGCTCACGTGGAAAGCCCATGGTGAGAGCTGCAGGCAGTGTTTGCTTTGCTGGACCCCTTGGTGATGGGGAGTTTCCTGAAGGCTGGTACTTCCTTGGGTTCCTGTTTCTCATGTTCCTCCTTTTGATTCCTTTCCCTTCCTCTTCCCAGAAGAGCTCTTCAGGAGCAGCCCACACCAAAGGAACACACTAGAATTGCCCTTATCATGCCCTCACTTCCATAGCTAAAATAGCCAAGGCTCCTTTTTGTCCCTGGTGTGAGCCTCATGCTAAAGGTGTTGGATTTTGGCTTCACACCCCTAACTCGGGGTAGGACCCATTCCTCTCTTGTAGCTGGTTAAAGCTGTGAATTGCTGTTCTCTTGCCTTCTGCCTCCGAGCCTGATGCTCCACCGTGGTGCTGAGTGTGTGTGTATGGAGAGGATGGATTGGAGGGGTTTCCTGGTGGGGTTTTCACCAGCTGGACTGTTGACCGGGACCTGCTTTTGTACTGGGTGCAAATGGGGAATGAGTTTGTAAAGCTACACGTGGAGGGCTCCTCTCACTGTACAGTCGTCTTTTTATATCCAGAATGTACAGATCCTTTGTCAGATGCTTTTTGTTACTTTAATAAATATGTAGCAGCATAAATGAGCCGTGCTTTCGTGTTGGGAGCTCGGGAAGAGAGGGTGAGGGTTGGGATTGCAGCCCAAATCCCACACTCGGGAGTGCTGCGGGCTTGGCTCAAGTGTGGGTGTCAAGGAGCTTTAGAAAGAAGCTGCTTAGTCAACACGCTGATTCTCACCCTGACCCTCCGAACCCATGGAATGAGGGCTGGGAATGGGTCTGGTGACTAACACGGGGCTGTGGGTGTCCTGCCCTGTGCTGACTGCAGGGTTCTGGCTTGGGGAGCAGGAATGCGGTGTCCTGCCAGGGCATGAAGGTGGTGTGGAGTCAACTGCCCAACCCTGGGAATGGCACCAATGCAGCAATTAATGACCTGAGCGGGGTGCAGGGGCAGGTCCTGGCTCAGCAGCCCTGAGGAATCCTCAGCAGAGGAAGGGTGAGGGATCACGGGGCTCAACCACTCAAGCCAATGGAGGATGCTCTGGGCCTGTCATGGCAAAGGCAGCTGGGTTGATTCACAGCAGATCCTGTTTTGGCTGCATGGAGAGGCTGTGGCTGCAGCCCTGCTTGCTCAGGTGGGGATGTCCAGGTTGTGCTCAACCCCTCTCTGCTCTCCTCTTCGAGCCAACCTCATCTAAAGCCCTTCTCTAAACCATCTTGGGGTGGTTTCAGCCCAAACCTCCATTCTTATGGAGTTCTGGAGTGCTTAAATCACATCACAGCCTGGTGGGTTCCTTGTGCCACAGGGGCATGGGCCTGTCCCCAAGTGGGGGCAAACTGCTTTGGTCAGAGTGTGCCACCCCCGAGAGGCAAACAACCCATGGGGTGATCTCTGCTCCTGTCTGAGCTCAGCCCTTCATTAGCTCCCATGAGCACACCCCAATTGCTGCTGCTGGTGGAACAGGGATGGCAGGAGGAGCTGGTGTCCCAGGAGTCATCCCGGTTCAAAGGCTGGGTGAAGGCAGAGGATGGTGGCCTTCCTCCCTCTGGCCCGGCAGGACCAGTGTACGGTGCTCTGAGACCCATCGTGCTGTGCTCCCTGCCTGGCATCTGGGGCAGCATCATTGAAAAGGTGAGATAAAAATACAGCTCTTACACATGGAGCATCCCGTGAGGAGTCAACCAGCCCCTGGCAGCCTTTTAGTGACTGACTCAGGTTCTATTCTTAGTTTGCTCGTCATTTTCCTGCTGGCAGGATCCTGGTTCCTGGTGTACAGGCTGGGTTAGTACCAGGGCGAGCTTTATCTGCCCCCCCTCCCCAAGTTCTTCCTAAATCTATGAGCTCATCTCAGTCTCCTCTCTGTCAGGTTAAAGCCATTCCCCTTATCCTCTCCCTACATCCCTTGCCCAAAGCCCCTCTCCATCTTCCTTATAGCCATCCCCATCCCTATCCATCCATCCCAGCCCCCTCCCCGGCGGTGGGACCGGCTCCATCCCTCTCCTTTACGACCCGTTGGTGGGATAAAAGGGGTTTGTTGGCGGCAGCAACCGGTGCATGGGGACAGCCGCTGCCATCTGCGCGCCGGGGCCGGGTGCTGGTTCTCCTTTCACGCACCACTGAGCTTTGCACCTTTTGTTTCCCAGGGAGCAGAGCGGCCCCAGCAGCGCACGGGTCAGGGCAGGGCTTGTGGGGGGGGCACTGGTGCCTCTTGTTCAGTGGGATAATAGCAGTGGTTGTTCTTTAGGGGGCTGCGGTGTTGGGTAGCACGGTGCTGAGCATCCCCAGTGCCCCCACGCTGCATCCAGCAGCGCAAGGTGCCCTGGTACCGTGCTGCGGGTGCTGGTGCTCAGTGGGGAGCATCCCAACACAAAGGGTGCTGTGGCCGTGTTCCCAAGGGATGCCATGCCCCTTGTCCCCAAGGGATGCCATGCCCCTTGTCCCTGAGGGATGCCATGCCCCTTGTTCCCAAGGGATGCCATGCCCCTTGTCCCCGAGGGATGCCATGCCCCATGTCCCCGAGGGATGCCATGCCCCTTGTCCCCGAGGGATGCCATGTCCCTTGTCCCCGAGGGATGCCATGTCCCTTGTCCCCAAGGGATGCCATGCCCCTTGTTCCCAAGGGATGCCATGCCCCTTGTTCCCAAGGGATGCCATGCCCCTTGTTCCCAAGGGATGCCATGCCTCTTGTCCCCAAGGGATGCCATGCCCCTTGTCCCCAAGGGATGCCATGTCCCTTGTCCCCAAGGGATGCCATGCCCTGTGTCCGTGAGGGAAGGCCATAACTATTGTTCCTGAGGGACATGAAGCCCCACGTCCCCAGGGATGCCATACCCCCATCCTGAAGGATGCCGTGCCCCTTATCCCAAGGGATGCCCCTGAGGGATCCCATACCCTGGCAGCAGCAATGAGGAGAGAGCAGGGGATGGTGGGAGCAGCCAGAGGCTGTCCCGGGGCTGTTTGTGCTTCCTCATGGAGCGGTGCCTGGGCTTTGTTCAGGGCTTGGAGCCATCATCTGCTTCCTTCTGAGCCCCGGCTCCGGGCCCAGCCTGGAGCTGGAGCTGGGACGAGCCCTGCGTGTCCTGGAAGCGCGTTCCCTGGCTCCAAGGAGGGATCATGGCACTGACCCAGGAAGGGCTCATGGGGCCACAT